AAAATAAAAATTTAACTCAAATCATTTTACCATTCAATTAACGATTTATTATCGAATAAAAACAAGTTTTTTCGAAGATTTAAAAGAATTTTAATAAAGTTTTTATCATAAAATTCAAGTAAAAGTATATTAAGAACTGCAGGGAGTTATCACGAATTTTTTTTTTCCAGGAATTCTTAAAAAAATTAAGACATTCGAATTTAAGTTTTAGAAGTAACATAAGTATTTAAATTCCAGATAAAATCAATCAAAAGGTTGATGCTTGTGCGCAAGATTTTTTGGAAAAATTATCGGACTATCGTTGTGACTATCGAGATTTTTACGTTTAGCTCTGTAAATCTCTGTAAAATCTCTCACAGAATCGTTAAAAAAAAAAAAAAAAAAAGAATATATACTAGTTATCATGCCAATCCTTACTCCACCGTATTGAAGATACATTCAAGCTACAACGTCAATTCCCATAAATGATGTAATAAAAATAAAAGAAAAATAGATCCATCTAAAATTACGCATGCAGCACTACAAAATAAATGTAAGCTACGAACGGCACACCTCTACCTAACATAGTGAGAAAAAAATATTTACACCACTGCCCGCCTGATCCATCAGTTGCATTGCCTGTAGTAGCATATTGATGTGCAGAGAGAGAGAGAGAGAGAGAGACAGAGAGAAAGAAAGGAGAAATAAGTTAAAAAACACATAGTTAATTGGCATCATGTACGTATATATATGTATAGACATTGATTGAAAAAAGAGAAATCTATCGTATGGTGTATATATAAGCGATAAATCATTAAATCAATAAATTGAGACATGTATATGCGGAGGATGCATATTTTTCAGTCGATATAGAGAAATCCAGACAGAGAGAAAGACACTTGACGCACGCTTGGAAAAATTAAATCTTTTATTATTGCAAATGAAAAAAAAATAAAATAAAATAACGCAGCATAATCGTCATGTGAAAAAAGATGAAAATCGAGACATTGACAAAGCTTTCACCTGTAACAGATGATTCTTGAGCACCGAACCCTCAGGCTCGGGCAGAGGGGGTAAATTATCACCCAGTCCACTGGGAGGCGTGATGCGATTGCTGTCCAAATCAACCAGCCAGACGTCATCGGGTATGCGAAAGTTTTTCTTGAACATAAGAAACGAGGCCGGAATGCCGATGACGTAGGGCGTGGGCGCCAGAAGAAGCTGCTCAGCCCCGCTCATGCTCGTTGGTAGGAGGGGGATGGCCGGGAACATGTACTCCAGGGGGTAGATCATCGTCACGAACGCCATCACCGACATGGACAGTGCATTGTAGTCACGCGATTGAAGGAGTATCTGCGATGAAAATAGTTTCCTTTTGTTCATAACTTTGCACGGTATGCTCGAAGTATTCGAAGGATTCCTCGATTGTGTTGAATCGTGAGCTCGAATTGAAATGGTAATCGCACCTTGTGTTCAAGCAGGATGAGGGCGAGCACTTTCAGGCAGATGTCGACGCCCAGCAGCTCGAGCGGCAAATGAAGCGGGAAATCAACGAGGGTGAAGCGCGTGTGATCGGGAAGGGCGAAGCACAGAGGTGGCTGCATGACTGGGGACAGAATCTCGACCTCGACGCGGGTCTTGGTTGGCACGGGCACTGGAGCACTCAGTAATCTTAGGATCCAAGTCTCAATTTCGCGTACGTCGTGCAGTACGATCGACGATGCGCCCTCCATCGATTGGCCGCACAGTACTGACCATACATTGGTGTCTCTGCGTGGAGGAATATTGTATTTTTTTTTTTAATTTTAATTGAATTGACAGTTTTATAGACAGTATGTAAAACAGTTGTAATTAAAGTGGTTTGAATGTTTCGTACCTGTGTTGTCGGGAAGCACCGACCCTCTGTGGCATCGACGTTTCGTTGCAAGCGTCGATAAGTTTCTTGAGAACGTAAAGGCATTCGCGGAACATGGAGAAGAACGGGTGATGAGAAATTATGCAGAGTGAAGTCAGCGTGTGATTTCGCATTCTCTGCAATCGAAAAACAAAATATTCATAAAGATGAGTTTAATCTCCGTTAAGTGTAATACGAGATGTATCGAATTTTCGTCTTTGTGCATAACTGCTGCACCTAGAAGTTTTAAAGTACCTAATTTATAAATTATGATAATTATAAAAATATAACATCCATANTTTTTTTTTTTTTTTTTTTAATGATCATCGATTCTGTTGCCGAGAATATTGTGCTTTTTTTTAGCCCACAACCGTGAAAGTCAATTTGAAAAAAAGTTACATACAAACTAGAGAAATAAACTAAACTTAAAAAAAAAGGGGGAAAAAAAAAACTACTCACTGTTGAGCTCTATGGTGACGGTAGTCGTTTGCGGCACGGCCAGGGGCGTGTTGCTGGCCCGGCAGGATATTTTCGCGTGGTGGTGGCTCCTCTTGAGGTTCTTTATCTTCACCCTGCTGATGATCATCGTGTACGGCCTGCGCATGCTGTTGCTGATACCACTGCCGTCAATACTGCCCGGCTGTATGCTCGTGCCGAAATCGTTGATCTTTACCTCCTCCTTCGTCGAATTGATTTGCTGCGACTCCAGGAACCACGTCACTCGGGGCTTGGGACTTCCTGGGTAAATTTACAAGAGTTTTTCGATAAAGCTAGTGAACCATGATTAAAAAAAAAAAAAAAAAACAAAAAAAAAAAGAAAAAAAAAGAATCTTCAAATTCCAGGAAATGTCGAGAGAAAGAGAAAGAAAGAAAAAAACTCAAATTCAGAGTTGGGTGGTCCATTCCGCCGGTACGTATAATACGATCACAAAAAAAGGGACAGTAATTTGGTGGTCCTTTCTCTCCCGGTACGAATGCACTCGGAGAAAATAGAACAACCGAGGGAAGGGAAAAAAAAAAAAAAAAAAACCGACAATGTCGCACGCTAAAAGTTATGAACTCTTCAAAGTGGATCACGAAAGAAGAGGAATCGACTATCCTAACTTTTTAAGTTGTACGTTCTTCAACACTTTTCGCATTGGATCGAAAGAGAGAGAAAGAGAGAGTTGCTCTCGAAATACAGGGTTTACGCCAGTCAGAGAGAGAGGGGGAAACTTGTTCTTTTCTCTTAAGGGGAAGAGGTTTCCCAACTTCCCCCATATCCACCACTCTGTATGTTTTTTCCCTTTTTTTTTTTTTTTTTTTTTTTTTGCAAACGCAGTATATAAGATCCCATATGTAAGACATACAT